AGGGCCGCAGAGCTTTCCCGGCGAGGACATGGATGGAGGGACCTCCGAAGGGCGGAGCGGTGCTTTCCCCGTGAAGAACCCCCGAAGGGCGGAGCGGGGTGCGGTGCTTGCCCGGCGAGGCATGGATGGAGGGACCTCTAAAGGGTATAAGGATCCCAAAGGGCACAGGGAACCCCAAAAGGCGCGGGCACAGCCTTCCCCCAAGGCGCTGCTCGCCCCGCTGCCACCCCCGAGCCCTCAGCGCTCACCTGCGGGGTCGCCATTGCCGCCATTGCTCCGCCCGGACCGGCACTTTTCAAACTCGGCGGTCCCGGGGCCGCCGCCAGCGCCCTCTCGCGGGGGCGGCCCGGGGGAGCCGCCGGCGGGCGGCCCTCGGGAGCGGGAGCGGGACAAGGAGCGGGAGCCGCCCTTCCCCACACGGCCCCGGGGCAGCCGCCGCTCCAGCCCCCGGCTGAGGTGGGGCCGCCCCCGCCCGCCCCGAAGGGAAACGCGCGGCCGAGGTCCCGTGAGGCGGCGGGAAGGAGCGAGGGCGCCGCGGACGCGGAGGTACCGGACAGCGCCCGCCGGGGAAGGAGAGGCTGGAGAGAGGCTGGAGGGGTCAGTGCCCGCCGGGGCACAGCGGCTGAGGGCCCGTGCCGAAGGGAGGGGACGGGAGGCAGAGTGGCGGGCCCCCCGCTCCGTCCCTCTGGAAGCCCTGAGCAGAAACGCCCGCGGGTGGCCCCGGCCGGGCCCGTTGTGCTCGGGCCGTCGGTGGTTCCCTGTTTCAGTTCTCCACTCGTGACCGGTGCTTGTTCGCACGGATACCAGCAAAGTGCAGCTCTCCTTGCGACGGGATCCCTGCATCCCATCCCTGGAACGGGGCGATGCCTTCACAGTGCTGGGCTCCGGGGAAATTTTTCCCTGTAGAACTGCCCCTTCACACGCAGGATCTGGTGTTTCTGTGAATATTTGAGTGAAAAAACATCCCGCATGCACTGGCGAGGCTGGCAACAATCCTCCAGCTATTGTAGTGAAAAAACACCGTGTTGCAGTACTGCCACAGCCTCACAGAACCGACAGTGTGTTAGTATTTAAAACAAATGAAAAAGATAGTTGTTGCTTTCAGGTGTTTAATGACACTCCTCAGCAGTATCACATAATACTACCACCCTACTAATAAGCTTTTCAATCATGGAGCACAACTGTGAATCAGAATGAATTTGGAGGTGATAGTATTCCCACATACAAATTTAGAAATATACTAATAAACAGATGTGTGTTCCTTTTACTTAATTAGAACAGTTTTTCTAGCCTAAATATTTTGTAAGTGATTTACAACTGAGTAATTAATGAAAGGAACTCATCATAAAATTAAAAATTTGGACGTAGCTTAAATGACTTGAATTAATAAAGCCTTAAACTAATACAAAACCTTTGAATATGTCCCTGTTGTTAATAAAGTGAGTGCATTTGATTAATATAATCCCTTCAGAAACCCGATGCTATTAAGAACATGGTCCAGGCTCTGCTAATGTTTAAGCAATTTTAATTTGACTGTTCATTCAGTGGAAATACTGGAGAGGAGAAAATCAAACTAGTAAGTGTAGACTGAGTTCCCGAGGAGCAGAGACACTTCCACACCTCCAAAAGATCCGTCCCAGCAGTCGGGATCAGGGCTGTGTTTGGCTGTCCCTGGGGATGTGCTCGGGGGTCTCTGGCTGGGACGGTGCCTGCAGGGGTCCTTTGCCCACCATGCACTCGGGGTTCACAGAGTGGCTTCCCCCTCTTTCCTTCAGGTCTCAGGCCCTCCAGGACAGGCAGAGGAAGGGCAGGGGGGGCAGTTCAGGGCTGTTGGGGAGCCGGACTTCCCCAGGCTGGAGGGAAAGGGCTGGCTCTCAGCTCCCAGGTGCTCCCAGAGTCTGTGTCCCTGGCACCCCAATGTCCCAGCCCCATTCCCCGGGCGTGGTTCAGCTGTGTCCCGCAAACCCAGCGGAGAGAGGGGGCCGGGCAGCAGTGGGATCAGCAGTTCCTGCCCATGCGGCAAGCCCCTGGCCCGCGGGAAGATAAAGTGTCACAACTGGGAGCACGACGTGCCCCTCCAGGATCGCGCAGGGCACCATGCCCTGCTGCCAGGGCTGAGCCCGAAGCAGGTCCGGCCCAGGAGCCTGGCAAGGGGCAGCGGCACCGGCCTGGGAGCTGTGCGGACTCTTTGGGGGTCCCCGGAGCAGGGCGGGGGCTAAAGGTGCGTCCCGACCTTGGACCGGCAGCCCCTGTCCTCCATTATACCCCACAGAGCACATTCACGCGGAGAAGGTGATCAAGAAAAAGTCTGAAAAGTTTCGATTTTTAATCCAGGAGAGGGGAGGAAGGACATTAAGCAGAAATCTGTTTCCCGCAGGAAGCAAGTGTCGTCTATCAGTCACTTGTGACCTCCCCTCACTCTGCTCCATAAAGGAGAAGTGAACACTGTCCACCGCACCCGTGAAAGATTGTGCCGAGTTTGGGACTAAAAAAACTGATTCTTGTGAAAAAGACTCTTAGAAATGGTAACATCAAGTAACAGTTAAATGTATTTTAATTCCTTCAAACAGAAGGATAGCTTGAAGGTACAGCAGAGAAATTTTCATTGATTTCATTCTCTTTTAAAAACAAAAAAAACCAAACCAAACCAAAAAACAACATGGCTTCAAAATTCAGGAACAGTATCCAATAAACAAAGTACTATCCTTATGCACCTGGTTTAGTGTGGTACAAAGAGCTTACAGATTCAAATGAATATCATAAATGACTGAGCAATCGATTCAGATAATGCTTGTTTACAGGGACAGAAACTATGTTGACAAGTATGAATAAGTACACAGATAATCTCTTTAAAAACCCCAAACCTTTCTAACTGTATTTACACACTCAGATGTATTTGTTTCCTTTGGCACTAGAAATTACAGACAAAAGATCCCATTTTATAGCAATTAAACTTTAAACCTCAAAATAACCTTTGAGATAGGCCATATAGCCCCAGCACAGCAGCCTCACCTTTATTAAATTGCTGCCAACTCTATGTTCTAACCCTGAAAATTCAGGCCAAAAAACCTGAAGCCAGCTACCACCTGTGACAAATTTCACATGGTGGAATTAACTGGATTTGAGGAGCTCGAGCAGTGGGGAATTCATGATAGATATTTAATAAGAATGAATCTCCCGTTATTATCCAAGGTGGATGTCTTTTTAAAAGCTTTTTATACACATATAAAATAAATCCAGTAAAAAAATGGACACCCATTACATATATTCAGCCAAATTAGACATTAAGTGAACAGTCAGAGCACATGATGGCCAGCTGTAGTATTTCTTCAGCATTGCAGAGAAATGTGCTAATCCCTAATCATTTCCATGCTAGAAAAAAAATTAAAATAACACTTAACTAATATGGTTTATTCTTTTACCATGTCAGTTTACTCTTTAGCCATTGCCAGGAGTAAACTCTTAAGTTTCACAGCAAATTCAGTATTATCAGTACAGTAGCAAGAGTATTTTGGCACCCTGTAAAATCCTAAAGAATGCACAAGAAAAATCTCTTAAGTAGCATTTAATTATCCAGACTTCTCATTTCTTATTCCTGGTATTTGACTTTACAGAGCCTGAAGCTTTGATTACTTTCAAAACAGTTTTTATAAGTTTTCTGCTAGTAACCAACAGGGATGGAACAACAATGGCACAGTATTTTTCCTAAAGCATTCAAGACTAGCAAAAGATTATTTTCCTTGAGGAACTACAATTAGGACTACATAAAAATTAAGTAATGAGGCATCATGGCAAGTAACAGCACATCGACCCTCTACCACAACAGGAAGCTATTTTCAATCTTACAACAAAAAGGAATCAAATTAAAAAACACTAGAATTTATAGGACTTCATGGGTTTTGTTCCTCCTCTCTCTAGATGGTAAGAAACCATTAATGATCAACGTTGTACTTGGCTCTGCAAAGCAGGATGAGGGCAGAAGCTTTTGTTGAGATGGAATAAAGTACATGGTTGTCTTATTTTTGCATTGATCACACGAGACTGGACGTTGCATTGTCTCTGATAACTGGATTGAATCCAAGCTGGACCACACACTTACAGAATGTTTTCCCTCACACATGTTATTTGTGCACGTCTCAACCAGACATTGATCTTGTTCTGCCAAGTGTATTCTTAAGCATCAAAAAAAGCTGAATTTTACTACAGCAAATTCTGTGAGGAAAAGGAATCAGAGAATATAACAAGTCTTCCCAGAAGACAGTCTTTTCTACACATCCAAAGAGCTGTTTGAATTTCAGATGAGCTGATAGAACATTTTTTTTAAATATTTCAAAAGTAAAGCATGTTAAAACAACTTCCATTACATTTTGTGGAATACCAGTTCCAACACCCTTATGTGAAATTGTTACAAGTTTCTCAAATGCAGTCTCTTAAAATGAGAGTACAGTGTATCTAAAGCACATATACATGCTGCTACCAAGGAAAAAAAAGCAGTGAAGTAGCAACTTTTCATACATGTACTAAGAATCTTGCTCTTTGAAATAGCCCCCAAATCAGCCTGCAATTAAGATTTGTTTTCAACTGAAAAGACTTACAAAACCACCCAAATATTTTTAAGACCACCCCTTGGTCTTTGTATTCTGAGCTCGCACGGTATTTTCATGCAAGCTGATGTACTGGAGATACAGTACAGCAAATTACTACAAATTCTACAAATCAAGTGACTTTCCTTTTTGCAAAACATGAATATACACCCGTGTCTTCACACACAGCACATGACCCTGCATGGAACTCGAGTCAGTGTGCAGTAGGAACTACCAAAGGAAACACTTTACAGATACTGAAATAGTGGAAACTACATGAACTGATTCAGTCCACACAACCACAAGGCTGCATTGCACTACAGAAATACTGACAAAATGCCCCCAAAAATGCCAAGAAACTACAAGCAAGTTCTAAATAGGATATAAAAACTGTTTCTTTCAGTGAAGACCAACCAGTCCCTTTGTGTACACATTTAGTTTTATTGTAACAAAGCAACTTGTACACTTTAACGTTTAAAACTGAGCATCTTTCTTTCCTTTCCAGTGAAACAAAAAAAAAACAAACAAAAAAAGAAGAAAAAAAACACCAAAAAATAAACCAAAAAAAAAACCAAAAAAGAATTTAAAAATAAACAAGAACAAAATTACAATAGAGAATGTCAATTCCAAATAAGATCCTACAGGTTCTGCTGATTCTCCATCAAGTGGCAGGGCTCAAAGTCATCATTAGGAGAAGATTTTATTTTAAAAGTGTCATCTTAAACTGCAAGGATGTTTGTTAAACATCACAATTAAACATGCCAAAGGAGAAGAAGCCATGTTGTCAAAATGCCCACTTAACCCACCCAAACTTCTGAAACCCACCCTGGCTGACCTTCTATAACCCCATTTTTATTTTTATTTTTTTTTTGTTGTTTTTTTCTTTTTTTTTAAACAAGAGAAAGTAGACAGATACATGTTGGTAAATGCTAACTGTCCATATTCACATAGAGACACAGTGTAATCTCTGAGCCCAATATACAGAGAAAGAAGGAAAAAAGCTAGATTCTATGCACTACTACACAGGGGCCTAGCACTCTTCAGCTTCCAGCAGAGTGAAGGGAGCAGAAGGTTTTCTTTTTTCCCACAGAACATGGTGTGTTGGATTCATAAACAGTTTTTGTTTTGAGAGAGAAAGGGATAAAAATGAACTTGAAACAGAAACTGGTAGATTCTTTTCCACTGTATTCTGCTCAAGGTATTTCCCCAAAATAAATCGTGAACCATGGTGTAGAGGAGAGAAAAAGAGACCTCAAGAGAACAAGGCGACTGAGCACAAGAAAAAAAAGACAGCAACTTGCTCCCAGGGACTGGAGAAAAATTAAAAAGGTAAAAAGGGGTTTGGAATCCATCAGTGTTCAATTAGTCATCTTCTCCTTCATCCTCCTGTTGAAAGATAAGCAACAATTAAATAAATCTAATCACTAAACTTCAGATAGCAAATGCAGTGACCAGAACTTTTTACAGTGCTACTCATGGTGCTGTATGATATCTCTTCCCTCACTAAAGGATGGTAACACTTGCCCTGGGTGCCCAGCTGCTGACCACACAGAAATCACTCACTACCTGGCTGTCCCAAGGCAAACACATCAGAGCTTTGAGAAACCATGACTTAGAATCACTACAAGCACTGACATGAGTTTAACATGTGGAAAGTGAAGGGGTCATCTTTTCCCCCTCATTTAAAACTCTGAAAACAAAATGCTTCACCCTTTCACAAGCCAAATTCTATGTTATAAAGCAGAGCCCAGAGCAGCCCTCCTCTCACTGCACGTAGTTTGTGCTGCTGGAAATCAGACACACCACACCCAGTTCTGAGAAACTAAGACATTCTAAACTAAGTTCCCAACACCTGGATGCTGACCCTGGAATCTCACTTACTACTAAAGCAAATTTCTAACTCCTGAACCCAACAGAAAGTCTTAGCTAGGCTGGCCATAAGGAGAAATAAACCAACAAGTGGGAAGGATGCATCAACAAAAGTCATTTATATGTAAAGCATTGCTAGAACGCTCAGTAACAAAGCAAGAATTTTGTCACATTAATATCCTTGTTCTCCCAGAGCACTTCCCACTTCCCTTACAAATTTACTGAAACTATGTACTTCCACCATCTCTCATACACACAAACATACTTATTACTACCTGAAACCACTCAAGTTAATGCAGTCACAGTTCTCACACCTTGGGTGCAGAAAAGAACCAGTTCACCTTTGTCACAATGGCTTGGTATTCTTACAAGATCCCTCTCAAACACCACATGAATGGCATGAAGGGCAAGATTACTCACCTCTCCTTCCTCTCCCTCATCATCATCTTCATCTTCCTCCCCCTCATCTTCATCTCCTTCTTCATCAATATCCTCTAATCCTTCCTCCTCTTCATCATCATCATCATCCTCCTCTCCCTCCCCTTCTTCATCATCCATATCAGGAACCTTTTAAAGACACATTTACAACATCAACTACAGTGATCAAATTCACTCTTGCACAGAGCTGTTGTGGGTGCAGATGCCCTGCTCAGGGCTGTACCTACCAAGTAGTACTGTAGGGGATTTGGCCAAATGTCATCCTTGATGACTTCTCCTAATTCATCAGCCCCTGCATCAGAGTGATCAGTGAACCAGGTGAAGAAGCTTTCTGGCTCTTCATGCTGCCTCTTCCTACTGGCTTTGTTCTGTGTCTGGCTTGAACGTTTTGTCAGGTCCTGAAAACATAGTTAAGAAGTTCCCTAAAGTCATCTTTCTATGGCACTTTTTTTCCTATAAGCACCATTTTAAAATGTATTTGTCTAAATAACCTTAAGAAATCACTTTTCTCTCCTTCTTCAAGGGTAAGTCTGTAAAACACATCTGAAACCCAAACAACTGACAGAAGATACAGTTTTTCTCATGAACATGAGAGAACAGTAAACCCACTTGTTTTTTTTCAACGGTCTCCACTGAACATTGAAAATTCGCAGAATCTCACATTTGATTTATGTTTCCCTATCTCAGGGCAACATAAGTATGACAAGTGTCTAATGACACACTGAAATAAGGTCTCACAATGCCTATACTACTCAGTAGTTGTAACTGCAGCAACTACTACACACAACCAATTTAAGAAAGTCTCCACACCTCTAAGCTCAGTATTCATTTGGAGATAAAGACCTGCCTAGGCCTTTTTGCCTAAAATTTTCTACTCTGAAATCTTCAGGCCACTCTCTGCAGTAAGAGCAAAAAAACCCCACAAACTGCTATAACACATAGTCAGAAGAACACATGTAAAGTCTGTATCACTTTACCCTAGAAAAGAAGTACAGTAAGTTTGCAACAATATTTTTGTTAAGTCTGAAATGAAATCAATTCTTTCTTTTACCATATTGTTACACCACACTTTTAGTGTTTTTTTCTCCTGTCAGAATGACAATATTTATAGGTTTAGACTGTTTAAGGAAGAACAATAGCAGAATTCACATTGATTTTGTGGTGTATGTAAAGATCACTCGACTGGTCTGTACAAGAATGTAGTTTCTGGTACAAGAGGGAAAGCTCTAGCTCTCAATACAGAAAACATTAAGTTTTCTCTTTGGTCTGACAGTGACAAAACAAGCGGCAATTTAACTGCAACCCTCAGCTCTACTTTTAAAAACTCAGTTCTAAATCTTCAGGATAACACTGAAGTACTTCTAACTTCTACAGAAATGAAATGCAGCAAATTAATGATGCTTGAACACTGCCTGGGTGACAGGTATGCCCACATTATTGTGGCTTCAAACTGTACAAAAGATGTGGCATCTGGAAATGAAGATGAGGAAATAGAGGAAAATATGAAACAAGATCATACCCTACTATCTTATCCCCCTAAACCTGCTATCCTTGGAGTTCTTCATTTAATAGTTATTTTAAGTAAACAACACAACACAGCTTAGATCCTGGCCAAGGAAGAGACAAGCAAATGCACTTGGGAATGTTTTCACATGGTCACACTTGTGCTCTCCCAGATGCAATACATACCTTTCCAGATTTCCATTTGATCTCAGTCGATTTTGAAGATGGGTCTCCACTTTCATTGAGGTGAAACTCTTTGGAGAGAACTTTATTTTCAAAGTAGGGATTCTCATCAAAATACTGCAGAGTGGAAAGCAAAGATTTAGAACCCACAGAATAGAAACACACGTATCAAGTAAAACCTGGCACTAAACAGATAACTGCAAAGATTTAAGTTCTAAACTACAGCCCAATATGCAATTAATTAAAAAAAGACATCAAAATCACAAGTGAATGAATAATTTAGAGTACTTACAAAATCTATTCTGTAACCTGATTTGATGTCTTCAAATTCTGTCACCTCAACTCTGGTCAAGTAATGCAGTGCTTCCTCATCTTCTTCTCCCAGCAGTGCAGATACTGAGAGAGAAGGAAGAATCCCACATTAACAAAGCCATGAAACAGGCAGGCAAAACACAGGAAACTGATAGCCAGGAAGATCTAAAAAGCAACACATCTGTCCAAGCCAACTTCTCATTACTCTTTCTTTTCAAGTTACCAGCCAACAGCCTACCCACACATACCCACCCTTCCCTCTGAAACAGATTTTCATGCATGTAATTTTCCCAATCTAAGCAGTCTACAAACTTGTTTTGTAGAAAGTCTATTGTCAAGAGTCCCAAAGAGCTCACTTCCAAGTAAAAAACATCCAAACAATCTAGAATAATTTTTTGTTTGCTTTTTTCACTTTAAGTTCCCATTGATCTGAATAAAGTGGGAAACTTTAAATTTAAAACGCAGGAAAAACATTTTAGGATTGAAGTATTTTAGTAAATAAGATGTTCCTTTGGCCAACAAGTACAAGAAAGAAAAAGCTTAAAAAATGCAATCTAGGACAGAAAGGAAGTGTTTTCTACGCTTAATGACAACTCCATAAGACCCTCAGAGCTTTAAGACACTCACATAACAAGCAAACCAACACTGAATTTACAGGGAGGAAAAAAAGAGAGCTATTAAGAAGAAAGTACCTTGTGGGTGGTTGACAAATGTTGTTACCCAGAAATTCGGGATTTTGGCGATCAATTCTGACCTCTTCTGGAAGAATGGTTGGCGGAGTTTGTTGTATTTCTGTTCTACTTTCAAAATTTCCTCACTGGCTTGTTCATTCAGTCTGTAATAGAAAGAGCCGTGTTAATCACAGGGGGAGAACTGGGATTTAAGGACACACCAGAGGAGTTAACTAGAAGCTGAAAGGGTTTGATAATACCAGTCTGCCATATTCTGCAGATGAAGCGTCCCAAAAACCCCAGAAGCTCAGAGCTGTAACAACTGTTAAAAAACACTCTGCCAGAAACAATCTCACTGGTCTGAATGGAACCTTCTGCACACCTTGAATGTTCTGCAGAGGTGGATCTTTATTTATGCAAAGCAAAGTTTTAGCTCTTGAACATTTTGTCTGTATAAAACCTGCAGATGGGTAACAAAGCCCTATCACCTGCCCCCTATAACTTTAGGCAGGCAAGGAAGCTACAGCAAAGCAATTCTGCAGCCTGTGCAAATAAAATCAAAAGACTTAAAACTGAGCTGTTGTAAAAAGGCACAGTCCTGATAGTGCAACAGCTTCACACCTTCACAGCCCCAACAGACACCTGCAGTCCTTGTAGGACACTGGACATGGAGAGAACATGCAGGCAGGGACTGACACAGAACCCACAGCCCCAAGAGATTTGGCATACAAAATTAACATATCAGAGACATTTTCTGTGTATTACTGCACAAGCACATGAATATTTTAATAAAAATGTATAATAAAAGCTGGCTTTTCAGCCATGTGTTTGGTTCTGCTTGCTAAGAGGAAACACTTTAGACATTAACTTGAGAAGACCGTGCAAAATACATTTCTATTATCAAAAATATCACAATTAATTTAAAATTATAAACTCAAGTTCTACCTCTTTAATTATACACAATTAAGCAAGAAACCAGGACACTTCTTTGTTATTTTAATGTCTCTAATCAAGTCAGAACACAGGTATATCTTGGCAGAGTTCAGACAGTGAGTACTACTGAGTGCTCACTTTACTAAACACTTTCACTTTTGTCAGTTACATTTCAATTTCTGCTAAAACATTTTAGAAGTGAGATAATGTTTACCTGTCTATTTCGTTCTGTACTTCATCAATGTGTTCAATTGCTTCCTGTTGCTCTTTTTCTGAAAAACAAATTAAAACGTGTCAACATCCCTGCATTCACAAGCCTGACAAATCACCTGGGACTTCTCTTTGAGACACACTCTGGCGATCTACCGTAGAAGTTCTCAGGTATTTCTCTTAAATGTCACAAGATTTACACGGCCTCAAAGCACCAGCTTCACAGGGTGTGCTGTAGCTGAAGTGCAGCAAAGTTTGACAAAACAGCCCCTAAAGTGAGTTCACCCCTAGAAACCACAGCTCACGTCCCGCTACACTGTTTAACAAGCCAACTTAAATTATAAGTCAATAATAATTTAATTAAGAATTTGTTTTAAAAAGCCACGTTTGCTACGACCAACACATTTGAAGAAACGCAAAGCAATCTACAGAGCACAAGAATATCAATAGAAATAGCTTATCTGGGCACATGCCACCTTCCAAAAACCGAAAAGAACGTTCGGAAAGACAGCTACAAATGAAAGAGATGCGAAAGCCGCCGTTTGGCAGATATTTTCCAATGGGCACTTCCCCCGGACCAAGTTTGGCCGAGGCCCGGGTTACGGAGCGCTGTTTACCCACCGCGCGGGAGATGAATGAGCGGCAGCGAGAAGCGGCTGGAGCGGAGCAGCGCCCGGTGCGCGTCCCGCACGGCGCGGCCCGCGCTGGGGGACAGCTCTGCCGCTCCCCTCGCGGGCGCGGGGGACGCACGTGGGGAAGGCGCTGCGGCCGGGGGCAACTCCGACCTTTAGAAGCCAAGATCGCACGTGGGGCCGGCGCGGGCGGCCCCAGCACCGCGTGTCTCCGCCGCTCCATCCCCGCGCGGCCCGGCAGCACCACGCGGCCGCGGCCGGCGCGGGAGGCGGCGGCGCATCATGGCGGCGGCGGCGGAGCACAATGAGGCTCCGCGGATGCTGCTCCGGGAGGGGCGGCGGGGGGGTCCCGCTCCTCCGCCGAGCCGCAGCGCCCCCCGCCCGGCCCCGCGGGGAGGGAAGCCGGGCCGGCAGCGCAGACAAAAGGGCGCTAACATGGCCTCCTCCCGCCGCCGGCGGGCCTGCACATCCGCCCGGCCGGGCCCGCGCTCCGCCCGCCCCCGGCGCGGCCGCGGCCCGTGCGGCGGGGGAAAATGGCGGTCGGCGCGAGGCGGAGGCCGCGCCGGCTGCCGCCATTCCCGTCCCGCCCCCGGCGCGGCCTCACCTGAGGTCTCGTCGGCCCCATCGTGGTTGGAGTTCAGCTCCTTCTTACTGACTTTGGCCGCCGGCGCCGACATGTTGGTGGCTGCGGAGCGCGGAGGGCGGGAGGGA